GTCAGAGCCTCACTGCGCAGGGTCAGAGTCTCACTGCGCAGGGTCAGAGCCTCACTGCGCAGGGTCAGAGCCTGAGCTGCACAGGGTCAGAGCCTCACTGAGCAGGGTCAGAGCCTCAGCTGTAGGCCCCTGGGAAATGGGCAGCAAACCAGGAAGCAGCATTTGACCACAAATGGGTAATTTGTGAGAGTCAGGCTTAAAAGTCATTTGTGCAACATTTGCAAAAAATTGAGGTAAAATTCACATCAGTGGACATTTTGGCAGCATTTTGTACGTTCACCGTGTGGTGCAACCACCACCTCTATCGAGTTCCAACGTTTTCATCACCCCAAAAATAAACCCGGTCCCCTCACGCAGCCGCTGCCCCCTCCTCCTCCCCACGCCACGCACCGGTCTGCCCTGGACTTTCACATCAATGGAATCATGCAACGGGTGGCCTTCCGGGTCTGGCTTCATTCGTTTATAATGACGCTTTCACGATTCACTCATGCTAGAGCGCGCAGCAGGACCTCACGCCTCTTCATGGCTGAAGCCCTGACACTGTTTCCTCATCAGTTGATGGACTTTGGGGTTGGGTCCGCCTTTGGGTTATTGCGAAGTTGCTGATGGGGCATTCGTATACCAGTACATGTATTTGTTTGGATGCCTGTTTTTCATTCTTTTGAACATATTCCTAGAACGTGTAACGTCTTACAGGGTAAGTCTAAGCCTGTGAGCACACACATGGTCACACATGCGCCCGCACACCCATGGAAGCACACCCCTCTGAGATGCCCACAGACGGGGGTGTGGGCGAATGTTACTGCGCTGACACCCCCAAGTCCACGTCCGAGCTGCTAGAGGACGCAACCCCATGAGGAGGCAACGCACAGGCTCCCACGCTCGGTAGAAACAGCATTTCCCCCCCAGGAGGTCAAGGACATGATGGTGCGTCCCAGCAGAGGGAACTCAACGTGGCCGGTCAGGCTGCGCTCCAGGACGGCCGGCCTGGGCCCTGAGCGGAGCCCAGAGAACAGGCACCTGACCCCCGGCTGGTGAAGAACCCGCGTGCGCGTGAGGCGCCGGAGGGAATGCGCCTGGGATCCCTGCTATCAGATCCCCGGGCTGTTTTCCTTCCTTGTCATTTTGCATTTTACAAATTTTCTACATTGAAAACGCTGGGCGGACTAACTGAGTCGATGTTTCTAAATGACTGAGAACAGGAATCGTTGCATTTATAGGCATTTGCTCTCATTACAATGATTTCTGCTTACGACCAGGTAATGTTTAAAGAAACAACTCTTCCTTCTTCCTCAGGATTGGAGCGTGTGCAGGTGAGCAGGCAGGGGGGCCGGCGGGGCCTGGGCGGGCAGGGGCGGGCCCCTGGGACATGGTAGGACAGGTAGTACTTCCTGTCCTGGCAATTGTCGCAGACGTGGTGAGAATTCCCTGTCTCCCCCCCCCCCCCAGGTCCCCATCAGCTCTAGGAATTGTGCAGAGGGCTTTGGCGTGCTCTCAGCAGATTGTTGCTGAGGAAGGAATGCGATAGCCCCTGGCTGAGTCCGGGTGACACCTGGGGATGGCTTGTGTCCCAGGGGAGGTAGTGTTTCCAGGCATCCAAGGCCTCTGCCCGGTGAAAAGCACTCAAATGCAGGTTTCTTCCCCATCACCCAGGACTCGGGGGCGGGAGGGGGGCCGCGGGGACCGAGGTCCGGCTCCTCTCCCGCCTCCCACTCCTCCTGCCGGTGTCAGGAAGGCACCTGGACCCCAGGTGTCCAGATGCTGCACCTGCGCGGCTTTGCCACAAGGGGGAGCTCTGGACCCTCCAGGAGGTGGACGTGCAGCCTGGAAAAAAGAAAAATCATTCTCTCCTTCGGGGAGGGGCGATGTGTTGGACACAGTGGACCGTTCCTACCCCGGTGGTGCAAGCAGGGCTGAGGAGGGGCTGACGGGAAGGTCTGGAGTCACGTCTCTGCCTTGTTCACTCAGAGCAGGGCCTGGAGGCGGCGGCCTGGCTTTCCACCAAGGATCGTGGCCCTTCCCGAGGCGCAGGCCTGTGCAGGTGCGGGAGCCGGAGGCAGGAGGCAGCGCCTCGGGCGCCCAAAGGGGCTGCAGGGAGCCCAGAGGTTCAGAGCTGGCCCTCCCAGCCTCGCAGTGGCTGCGGGAGGCTCCCCGAGGGCCGCAGCTGGGAGGGGGTGTGGGGGGCCTGAATGTCTGCTCAGAGTGGAGGTCTGTCTGCTGGGCTCCCAGGGCCACCTGCCACACGTGTGGGTGTGAGCGTGTGTGTGAGCGTGTGGCTCTGTGTGGACGTGCATGCGTGACTGGCATGAGCTCTGACTACCCACCGAATGCCCGGCTGGCGGCCAGGGAGGTAGCCCAGGCCTGGGCTTTTTGAGGTGAAACTTGATCTCATCCCTGCTATCAGATCCCCGGCTACAGCCAGATCATGTGAACTCACACACACACACACACACACACACAGATGAGTACACACAGGCACTGCACACACATGCGCACGCTGACACACAGATACGCACACACACCTCTGCCGGCGGGAGATGATGTGAGGAGACCCTGCAGGTTAAAAGAGAATCCGGAGGCTGATGCAGCCGCCCTCCAGGCTCCTGGCACCGGGATGAGCTCGGCCGAGTGGTGACTGAAGCCGAAGCCCAGTGACTGGCCTGCCGATTCCATGTTCTGCGGAAGCGCCCCGCCTGTCAATTGCTCCCGAGTGGGGCGGCTGGAAGGAGCGGAGGTGGCGGAGGTTGGTCCCCGGGAGGGAGGGGGCTGGGCTTGGCCAGGCTGAATGTGAAATCCAGGCACCGCCCAGGGAGGTGACAGAGAGGCAACGTGACCCTCCTGCTCACCTGCAGGGCTGTGACCTCTGCCTGGTTCTGCTTCATGACCCTTTGACCTTGAAAACAGAGCTGAGAGCTTTCTGTTTCCATCCTGGATGTTGTGGGGTCACAATACCTCCCCACCCCCGGAGCTGCTGTGCCCACCAGCTTCTGGGCTGGGGGGGAGCTGCTGTGCCCACCGGCTCCTGGGCTGGGGGGGGGGCT